AAAAAAAAAAAAAACTATATTATTCGGTACGACCATTTTTCCGCCTCTTCAATTTTATCGAAATTTGTCAGACGGCCTGCTTCGAAAAATTTGCATAAATCCAGCAGTTCATAGTTTCATTCGACCTGCAATCGGTCCGACAACGATGGCGCGTAATCGTCGCAAGCCATGGGACTTTTAATTCGATTACACGGCGAAATGCGTACTCACGGCACGACGTTAAATGGACGGCTTCTGCGAAGCGTTTCATAGAAATGGCATAACAGAGCCACCCTCCGTTGGGGTTAGATACGACAGGGAAGCAAGAGCTTTCTCGTGTCCGGCTGTTGCGCACCCTCGACCAATCTCTTCTGTACACACCGATGTTTTTCACGCGACCAACCTTCCCTCCTTACCCTTACCTCGTTTCTCGACGGTAATATTCCTCGTGGCACGTCCTGTCCACATTTCGCCAAGCTTTATCATTTTCATCCCTCTCGCTCCCTCCGTAGCTTCGTGTCGTTCTGTCCATCGACTAGAGAAAAACTGGCCGACCTTTTGTGTCGTATAAATGGCGAGGACTTGTCTATCAACCGTATAAGATGCCTGGCTTTCGAGAATGAAAACTGTGACACGGGAATTTGGCGGGGAACATTGCTTAGATGTCTGGTCTTCATTTTTTCTTAAGCTTTTAAAAAATTATTGTATAATCTTATTATATGGACAATCGTTATTTTCTTTCATTTTGCTAAAATGATGTTTCACGTTCACTACAGTTAGAACTTGACCTACTTGTAATTTTTAGGAAATAGACAGAGATAGAGATTTTTGAAAATGTTCAAACATTTACTGCAGAAGAATTTCTATGGAGATATGTGTTATATAAAATATTTTAAAATTGATCAATGACTAATATGTTTATCCATATTGGTTGAAAGTTGTTTAAATATATATATTCAAATTTCAAACATACAGTGAATGTCAGAAATATTATATTATTCATTCAAAGTTCTCTGATAAGTATTCGAAGTACTTTCGTGAGCAACTGTAACTTATATATATATATATATATAGAAAATAATCAAGCAAAATTTGAAAATTCGAGACTCGAATAAAGAAATTCCAGTTACCAAAGTTCGTTTAATCTTCAGCCTTTCGAAGATTCGAAACACACAGTTTCGTTTTGATTTCGAGCAGTAAAGATTGAATTCGACACGAATATGCTTAAAGCATTTCGTTGCAAAAGTACCATTTCCCTTTACATCTCTCGTCTTTCTCTCGCACGCTCGGTTGACAAGTTTCCTCTCCTCGTTCGAACGGTGTTTACCAGTCTGCCGTAAACTCATCCCCAGAGATTTAGCTCCGCAGAGAGCGTTTCCGCGTTTTCTACCTGCAGCCTCTATTTCGATATTTACGTTCGGTGCGTTGAATCGAAATTCATAGACGCGGTCATGATTGAATTTGCTGACCTGGTAATAAGATCCTTTCGTAAATGCATTTCACTTTCCCCGTGACATTTCAAAATTCGAGAATTCTCTTACGAGAGAGAAATCGTCGTCGTTCATTGGACTGAGCGGCGAAAAGTGCCGTTTTTCGATTCCGAAACAGAAGCAAGTCGGGCTGTTTATTAGTGGGTTAATGGCTTTACAAGACATAGGACTTTATACCTGGAGCGGTATGCCCGACAAAAATCTACATAAAATCGGACTACACGAGACTGTGTGGCAGTTGTCGATGAGCTTTCCTCTTCTTTCTTTCTGTTCTAGGCTGATATTTTTCTTTGTAACCAAGTGATTAAAAGGCTTCAAAGTGTACGGCACCGTGGAGAAGACGTTTCACCCGTTCGAGCTGTGCAGCAGGTCAGTTGAATTTTTAAGTGCTTGAAGAACTGTTAAGTGCTTGATGTCGTTTCGATACTAGCAGAAATTGAAAAAGCTTTGATGAGAAATTTATGATTCATTGGAAAAACTTTCATTGAAGAATTTAAAGCGCACAGCTTTTAAAACACAGAGCTTTGTATTCTCACTTTCTCATCTCGCGATCGAATGACGAATTCAACTAAAATTTACCACACGAAACAAAAAATAAATAATTCGAATGAACCGATTGCAATTGTGAACACGTTTGATTGAAGCTGTACTCAAGATAATACCAGTCACAAAATCCAAAGATTATTATGGTATATAATTCGCGATAAGAAAATGGTAAAGACAACGCATCTAAAATGAAAGTGAGACACGTAGGAGTAACGTAATGCGGCAATCGATCAGAGAGACGCGACATTTATGAAACATTCTCGATTGAACGTATCGCCATTTCACTGTGTTTGCCAATGTTTCAGGCTCTCCCGCGTGTTCCAGCCGGGAACACTGGCCGGTATACAAGGTGAGTTGCGCACATGTCCATTTTATTTTTCCTTTCGTTTCTTATCGTTCAAATGAAATCATTGCTCGCTTACGGGCCCCTTTCGACGGATATTTCAATTGTCCTTCAATACTCGTTTCATCGAACTCGCGAACGCGTTGCACTTGGAAAATGAATCTCAGTGACACTTGACAATTGACTGTAAAACGATCTCGAAACGAAGAGACACAGACACTTGGATGTTGAGACGAGGAAGAAAATGAAGTACGAAATATATATAAATTCAAGAGATTAATTAGATCTGAAAATGGACCAAACTTATTTTTGTCGAATTTATAAATGGATTACAACTGGAAGATATCTGATCTCAGGTTACCCTTGGCGATTGATTATAAAAAGATCTCTCAACAAAGAAACACGCCAGATTGATTCCTTCTGAACAAGAAGAAGTTCAAAATGATAAGAGAAAGCAAAGAGATGTTCAAAATGATAAGAGAAAGCAAACAACGAGAGGAAAAGAATTGCGTCGTAAAGCGAGACAACTAGATTTCGTTCAGAGACTGGACGAGTTAATTTGTCTCTTGCAGCCTCGAAACCTCGAAACTAAAAAAAGTCGACGATAACGTTTCCTAGGTACGTACTTGCCGTAAACAGAGCATTGTGTACAACTGCGTCACACTAAAACCCACAGCTACTAAACCGCGCATACTACCTATAAATGGGCGGGTTGCTATAAAGCCCATTCATGATCGCGTCTCGCCTGTACAACAAACGTCAGGTGGCTCGCGCCTCCCCCGCGATTTATCGCACTCCCGTTCGAGCAAGAGTTTCTAACTTCCTATGCAAGCACGATGACACACGACCTCGATATCGATATATCGCGGAGAGTGTTTCGACACGTTTTAACTTGAAGTTACAAGTTGTTCAACCATCGAGTGCACGATTTTATTTCTTCTCGATTCGTAGATTCGTAGATTCGGAGCAGTGTAGAATCTTTTCATTTTTTTCTCAGTGAGATTTGCTAGTCGAATAGCTTGGAAAGTGAAGGTTCTAGTAGATATCTAGGTTAATGCAAGAAACAGGATAGAATCTTAATTTATTCGAGCTTGGTTGGTTCGTTGAAGAATTCTGCAGCAATCTCATCGTAAACTTGTAAAGTCTTCCACGATATGGAGCTGTCTCCTTTTTGATGGCTACGAGCAACATCGTTTAAAAACGAATTCCATATGAATAATGGAGTCAGTCGGAATTCAAAAAAGACATTTATAGATTTCTCGTGAGTTAATTGATTCACTATTTGGCCAATTACATAATCGATCGTTTAACCATCGATTTGTATTTCAGAGTCAAGTTCAAGACCCCACCGAGTTTACTGTTGTCGAGCATACTCTGTTCATAAATATTCAGAGAAAACTCCTAACGTCAAGTTTGTTCTTCAGTGCATATCTATGTTTTTCAAATTCAAATGTTTTCTATGGTGTGCTTACATTCGGTGTCTGTTTGTCGTTGCTCTTTCCACTTTGTTACGCAATCGCGAGATCTTTCTCTTTCCATGATTAAAAGGAATAAGTGAAGTATAATTGTACATGTATAGCTTAGGAGGCATTCGAAGAAATATTTATAAATGGAAATAATAAATATCCATCTTAAATATTTAGCTATTATCAGATACTTCTGCTCATTCCACTTACTAAACCGCGAAATTCTATTACATAAACCTCATAAATATTCAATGTCTACTCCTCGTGGATGGACTCAAGAAAATAGAGGATCGTATTATAATTTTATACTTAAGATTGATTCAGATAAGCACTCATAAATATTCAGTAACTACTTCTCGATGGATTTAGAAAACTAGAGAACTAAAATCGAAATTTTTTTCAATTACACAACTTACAATTGATTGTAGGTTAATAGATTTGTTAACCCATAGATGCCTACTAGACGCTTAGATAAAAATTTGTAATTTGTTGGCTGATTAAGAGGTGACGCGATCTAGTGAGGTGTGAGCTTGATGGACAGATGGAAGGCGTATATATCGGAGTTGTTGTCAGACCGTTTTACTTTACTGCCCCATAAAAGTACCGAGATTTAGACTGCAGTACTACCATGACGTATCGTCGTCAGCCGTGTGCGTATGTACGTACACGCGGCGTGACAGCGTGCGCCGTGTCGATTCACGCACCCGTGGCGAGATCGTAGCGGACGCAAAAGACATCATCCATTCCTCCTTTCGCGCGTGACGTCACGCTTGTAGAATAGCGGAGAACTCGCGAGAGGACTCGCGCCAGGACTCCTTGAATCGGTTCGTGTCAACGAAATTGCGACACGAGCGGAGAACATGGTCATTAGGACCATGATCGGGTTCATGGCTCTCGAGTGTTTTTACTTTCTGGAAGAATTCCTTGGAATTTGATATTACCAATATTTTCACAATTTTCACATTTACTGCGATTCTCTGTATTCTGCATTTTAGTCCAAGAGCGTAAGACGAGTTGAGCAATTGTATTTGGAGTGAGAATTAAGACGACAAATTCAGGTAACTCGAACGATTGGTCGGTGTTCGAGCAACACGATTGTAAACATATAATTTAACAACGATAACGGGTGGTCGTTATTCCGCGAGATAACGAGTATTGTAAAAGGCGCAATGTTCGATGATGGAACTTGGCAAAAGTCGAGCGACTACAGTACGCTACGCTTGGCTCACGAATCGAATAATCGAAACGTTATCAGTTTTCCAAAATTGCATCGTTTCTATTTGAAAAAAAAAAAAAAGAAAAAAAAAGAAACAGATGGAAGTAAATAATCTTGAATCCCGTAACAACGTTACTTTGTTCTTTAATTAGTTCTTCAAGGGCATTCACACCCTAGAAATTTCTCAATTCGTTCATCACGCGAAAACAGTAGAAGCGTGTGGCGCCAAAGATCTCGATTTGATCCAGGAACACCTGCTGTTCGTCAATCAGACTACGAGCCTGCGAGATCTACGTCAGAGTGAGCAGACGGTGCCTTTCGATCTTTTTTTAGCCAGAAACCGCGTTTTAAATCGAACGACGGATTGTCAGAAATTCGAAAGAGGCGGCGCGCGCGTGTTCTCGAGTCCCCGCGCGCTGCATTGTGCAGGCTGATGCCAGCGCGATGCAGAGAAAAGAGAGAGAGAAAGACAGATTAGAGCGCGATGGGCGAGGGTGGGAAAGGCGTACGGGGCTCGTAGCTCGGCTCGAACGCAAAGTGGAAGGGGGAAGTTCGTTCAGGGGTTTGGTTGTCAAACGATCCGAGAGATCGCGCTCGAGTCGCGTTCAGCCCGTTTGTACGTCGAGCCGCGGGCAGAGCTCTCAGTTGTTCAGTTGAGCACAGTGAAGGCAGAAGAAAGCGAGTCTTTTCGTGTGTGTAAATAGCGTGCGTGTGTGCTTCGACGTTTCTTCCACGGGGATTTGTAGGGCTCTGTTATCCGAGGAACCTAAAGGTGGATATCATTTATGACATTTAGATCAGTCACTACCTGACTTTTCAGGATTCCGGGAGGAGATGAGAAAAGATGCGATGATCTACTGATTGCGGCGATTCTTGATTCGCGAGTTCGTCCACAACGATTCGTTCGATTCGTGGATCGCGCGCCTCTCGAACGGATAAAAAGAGAAAAAAAGAGAGAAAACGAATCGAAATCGAAGGATATTTAAGGAGGCTAAAAGACAGATAAAGAATAAGGAGAGCAAGTGACGGGTGGAGAGGAAGTGCGCGTTCGAGTGGACGTCGCGTGTGTATTCCAAGAAAGTAATGAGCAAGGTGACAGTTGCCTTTGAGGAAGGAGGCGGGACGACATGCAGCTGAAGCATGGTCTGGACGACGATAGCAAGATCGGTCGGACAGTGAGAGAAACGTGCTCGTACTGTACGGTCGATGCGACGTGCTGCTGCTCGCCCAGAAGATCGCGATTGCCAAGTGTCCTGACCGCGATATGTTTCAGCCGCGTACCGCTCGTTGATCGTTTCGAGTGCATCCATCATCGCCGACGACGTTCGACGATCGCGTAGTTGCGTCCAACGCGCGAAACCACATCGACTGATCTCGAGAAGAAGAAACCTAAGAGTGCAATATTTAAAAAAAAAAAATTGCAATTCCATATCGTTGCACGTTATTGAAAAGAATAAGCTAGAGCCGGCCGATCGGTTATAATAAATAAATATTTCAAACGATCATTTCTAAAGGAGTGCTGTGTCATTTTTTTTTGTTTCCGTTTGTTCCAACGTCGCGCGCCGTGCAACACCATTGGATCATCGTCATCGTCATCGTCATCGTCATCGTCATCGCTGTCCGATCACTGGACCGTTCGGACATTTGGGATTCGACTCGCTCACGGACGACGTTTCTCCGCACGTGGCCCGTGCTGCTTGCCACTCGTCAACTTTCGTCAACGTCTTGGACGCGTTGTCGCGGTGGTGGTGGTGATGGTGCATGGACCTTTTCTCGACGGATTTGTTACGCATTTTATCGCGCCCCTGGGCGTCTTCATCTCCCTCTCTGTCTATCTCCGTGCTCGCTCCGTCCGCTCGTCCATCCGTTTCTCTCGCTCTATCTCCCATTCGCGCTCTTCGTCCTTCCTTCCCTCTGCTTTTCTCTTCTGCTGGACCGCCGTGTACCATCTCCCTCTATCCCACGCTTATCTACCCCTCCACCTGTCTGCCTCGCCGCTGCACACCCTCTCTTCCCTCCGTCAACCCTGCCCGCACGATCGCGTACTACACCCGTACAATTTTCCCTACCCCTACCTTCCCTGTGCCTCCTCTACCTTCACACGCGTTTTCTTTATTTATTCCGCGATTCCACGGAGCAACGCAACGCTCCGCGCACGATGAGCAACGCGGCTCTTCCGTTCTCGTTACGTTTTTGAAATCATCGTCTCGCGTGCCGACTCGCGCGCACGGCACCCACCGCGATATTTCCATCTCGCGTCTCGCGCTCTGACCATTGATCGCCGCTCTGTACTTTCGATCTTCGTCGGCTACGCTCGACGAGACCGTCTCGTAAAATCGACGCGAATAACTATCTTTCGTTCCCCCACCGTTCTTCCTTCTTCTCATCGTTCCCCATCCTACCACTTCTCTTTCTCCTTCTTTATCTATTGCTTCTCGTTCGTTCTGCACCTGTTCCTCCTCCCTCGAGTACCGTGTCTTGTTCTGTCGGGCTAACGTTACTCGAAACGTTACATCGGCTCGCTCCTGTTCATCCTTGGAACGTACGTGCGCGTCGTAAACGCAACCGCGCGAAACGACCATGCGATCGCGGTACCCGGTCGACTGCTGAAAAATCGATCGGTCATTCCCGCGCTTGGTCCGCCGCTGCCACTGGTTTCTCGGACAACGCCGACGATCGCGGCCGAATCTGCCACGGAATTGGCCGCGTCGCGACCTTCCTTCGACGTCGGCATCGTCGTTATAACACCGGCAATCACCTGTCACCATCTGCACCATCGCCGATCACGTGGCTTGCTCGACGGCGACCCTGTACGACAATGTTCACGCCGCGCCGCTGTGCGGCTCCGGCGTGGGCCACCCTGGCTCCGTCACGCCGATGGGGTCAGCCACCGGAGCGGGGAATTCCACCGGGGTGACTTGGTGGGCCATGATGAACGGTTCTCTCTACGAGGACAGCCCGCCACCGATCGCGCCATCCGCTTCCAGCCTCATCTCGCTCCAGCAGCAACAAGCAACTTCGACACCGGCTTCTCACCAGCAAGCCACAACACCGACCTCACCGACCGCACCGACCGCTTCCTCGGCAGCGAGCGCGCCTTCCGCGCCCACGGCCAGCGCCAGCTCGACCTCGCCGAGCGCCTCCTCCGTGGCGAGCAACAGCGCGCCAGGCCCGCTCCACATACCGGCCAAAAGGTTGACCGCCACGCCGGCCGCTTCTTCCTACGGCGAGGTCGGCTGCGTCGAGTCCACAGCCGCCCCCGCCACTGGACCAGCAGGCGTCATTCGTCATTCCCACTCGTCGTCGGCCGGCTCCCAAGGAGGCTGGAGTTACAGTCCCCATCATCCCCAGGACTCTCACTACTCGTCTGCCGCGACTGACAGCCTCAATCATCACCAAACCTACGGGGGCAATAATCCCCCGACCTATTACAATCTGGCGGCAGACCCTACCTCCACTTCCGGCTCCTCCAGGGACAACCGGAAAGCCGGCACGCTCAGCTTCTGGTCGCCGGCCGCGGCGACAGCCGGTGTCGCCGCAACAGCTGGCTCCAGTTCTGACTACAAGTCCTACAACTCGGCCGGTGTCGCGACCACCAGCTCCTCGACCGGGGCTGGATCCTCCTCCGCGGTCACAGGTGCCGCCGACCCGGCCGTTTCTTCCTGTCATCAAAGCTTCTCGCAGAGTTGGTGCAATTACGCGCCGTACACCACGGCCAGGCATCATCATCCGGTGGACACGGCTGGCCATCATCATCCTCACTCGCAAGCCGGGGTCCCGTATTTGACACCGTCCGCGGCGGACGACCGGGGAAGGGTCACCGCTGCCATGGTCGCCGCCGAAGGGGCTTTCCCTCACGATGGTTACGGTGGCCTTAGGAATTACGGGGCGCCCGAGCCTGTCACCTCCAGTCCGTACCCACCTCCAGGTAAGCATCGACTCCGTCTTCCTCTTTCTCTTTCATTCACGTTGTTTCTTTTCAGTAGGGTATGCCAACGAGGTAACGTACATACCATACGCGCCCTATCCACGCGACAGCTTTTACTTTCCACGAACATTTGCTCGCGAACCGCGCGAATTTGCTTTGCACGTAAACGCAAGGTCATCCGTTGCTGTGTACGTGCCCCGGCCAGTCCGCGGGGAAACGAAACGAGTCTCGCCGAAAGTCGCAAGAGATCGTGCTCCGAATCTTTCCTAGCTCTCTCGGCCTTGAAACGAATCAACGACAACAACGGGCGAGCGAGCGAGCGAGCGAGAGAGAGAGAGAGAGAAAGACAGAGACGTATGGAAAATTTAAATGATCGAAATCCGCGAAGATCCTGACCTGTCGCACCAACCTGCCGTTCATTCACGTGTTTGGTCATTCTCTTTCGACCCCACTTGGCTGCGTCCTATTCTTCAGACCCGGGAACCCATGAAACGTCGCATGAGCAACAACGAACCGCGGTAGGTTTATTGGCGGCCGTAACTCGTAAACTCTGGCGTGTGCCTCCGATCAGCTGATCCGTTCCATGACCCGTGCACCAGCCGTTCGTTCTTCTCTTACTGATGGCCGTTCTCGCTTTCCCTCTTGCGAACAGTGTCGCCGGCACTGTTTCACGCCCTTGTTTCTGCCTCTCTCGATCCAGCCTTTAACCCATTTCGACTTGTTTCTTTACCTCTGCAGATTCCTGTTCGTTCGGTTAGTTGCATAATCTAGTGGGAAACTGCGTCGATGCTGTGGACACGTGTGCAAACGTACAAATGATACAGTCAGGTACACGGAGGAATCGTAGGAGGCTGAAAAGGTCAGCTAAGCTTAAAACGACTAGGCTCTAGAGATTCTAATCGGCCGGCGATCGAGTATATCGTAGAGTTCGGTGGAGAAAAAGAGAACACGCGTCCCTTTCCGAAATCGTAAAGAATAGGAAAATACGAGACACCATGGCTGCTCATACGGGCACGCTCGGCCCGATAAACGAGATAACGTTCGCGTGATCCTCTCGGCCTCGTAGTTTAATCGTATGCGTGGTAGGGAGTTACACGCGCAGGCGTGTGCGATTCATACAAAGTAGCAGAACGAACGCCGCGTATAGTTTAACCGTGCTCCAATAGATGGCAGCTCCATTATCTTTGTTCGTCTGGCTGGTATTCCGAGACCGCCGGCGTGTCTTCGACGTGTTACTTCCCGAATGCCTCGGGTCGCAGGCTTGCGCGATTTTTCGAAAACAAGTTGTACGCGCCGGCCGGCGACAGCTGCCTTGCCATTCCCCGATCCGATCAGATAACAGCTTCCTGGTTGAAAAATGTCACTCTTGGAGAGAAAAACCGGTTGCCAACTTAGCTTGCCATTTTTCGAGCTTAAATGACGTTCGATGTCTCGCGATATAATTTAACGCACGATTTTCGACACTTCTCGTCTGTAATTGACGGTTGTCGCGGATTATGATCGATCGCCGCACGAGTTATCGTATATTCAATCCTCGATATCTTATTCCTCGGTGAGTTTTCGTCGTAATTTCTCAGAAATTTCGTGAATTCTTTTCCTTGGGAAAGTCAATGCTCCGTGATTTTATGTTAAATCGTTCTGATAAATTGATTACGACTGACGATTGTATCTGAACAATCAAGGAGAGAGGCTTTGGTCGGTAGATCGTGGACAGTGGTCGTTTCGAGGGCTGGTGCGATAACCCTCGGCACGCCTCGGTGCTGACTGCACGCCTGCTCGCAAATCGATACGTCATTTGCGCCGCAGTTTCGCGTGCTCGCGCTTCGTCCCTCCCGTACATTGACATTCATGAGGATTCTGACCTTCGTTAAAAATCATTTGCATGTTTCAACGCGTTTAACGGGCAGTAAATTGAAAAATCGTCGCGATACTCCGTGAAACGTTGAGAAAGCGCTAGCTTTTTAGGAGCTTACCAAGGAGTAAGAGAAAGTAAGAGTTACGACGTAGGTTAGAGCGAGGAGAGGCATAAGACTAGAGGCAGAGTATTACGTGATTTAATAAAGAAAGAAGTAAAGTCGAAGCTCGACTGCCGAATTCTCTGTACGAAAACACAGTCGAGGGTGTTTGCTTCATCTTTTCTCATTCTCATAAACTCTGATCAAAAGGTT